GTGCTCGATATACCATTCTTAGTATCTTTAGTGTCTTTAGATCGCTTTATCGAAGACGATTTATATTATAGACTCGAGTATATGTACGAATAATTGAGACTTAATACGTCGTTTATCTTATATGCCTGGGGTAGAGAATTACTAATACAATAACACATGGCGCCACATAAACATAATAAACAATACATAAGTGCGAGGTACAGCTGTGTTTATAACCTTGAGATCAAAGTGCGCAGAGCTTAGCACACTTGTGCGATTGATCTCATATTATATGTGACTGTATTACGTGCATAGGTTGCATTATATTTATGGAAGGCAAAGTTCAGAATAAAGTTCACTAAAGTTCTCGAGATTATGTACATTTCTTGCAATATAAGATTACAATGAATCAGCGTCGTTGCGATTCTTTTAACCGTGTTTCGAATATTTATTGTTGGCTCATATTTCTATTATCGAATACAATATATAATATGATATACAATATATTTTTTTATTTGATTGTAACCGTTACGAGGAGATGCATTTATTTATTTATTTATTTTTTTAGTCGATTCTATAAAACATTTTGAGTTAAACATAACAAAACATTTACAATTCTTTATAAAAAATCGTGGTTTGTGGAAAAATATATAATAATTATTTTATATTTGTTGAAAACGCTCGCATTACGAGAATCCATTTAGTAACATGAGATTTTATTATACACACATTCACAATGTAATAACATCACGATATATTCATCCATTCTATTCTCTCTACATTGTATGTACCATTAATTCTCGTATAATATTTTCGTGAATATTATTTTTTTTAAACAAAAGAGTAATATTTGTTATATATTTTAATGAAATAATTTAGTTTATTCTTCGGAAAATTTCGAGTTTTTTTCAATATTTAGATATTCTCGCGTCTCGTAATCATCATATTATTTGTGGATTCGATGGATCGTTTGATATCATGGAAAAATTGATGGCAAATGTCAAGGGATATGAATTAATGGTACTCGTGAGAGATCGAAGCATCCATTCGACGTTTTCCGTAAACGACCATGCTTAACGATCGTCATGACTGCGTAATAGGCAACATCCGTTACAGGCAAGTTGCTCTCATTTACAGATATTTTTAAGGCGTCGCTTAACGGCGGCCGCGCCATAAAGGTTATCGGCGTGTTAACTTCACTTTCACACGCTTACCTTTCGACGTTTATAGAACACGCAGGGACGAAAGTTACGATCACGTGTTTATCGTCCGTGTAAGACTTCCCACCGGCGCTTTACGCCGTATAATACTGTGTTACAGATGTAACTGCATGTGATAGGCTACGGCGAATCTACAATTACATCTACGGCTTTCTGTTTTACCACATCTTAGATACGCGTATCTCGTATAAAACTTTATTTATTATTATGAGCCACGTACATAATATTGAGATAATTATGGAATCACGGAGTCATAATTTGTTTGAATGATACATACATATTTATTTGATTTTTATACTTTACTAACAAATGGATTTATTATTTAAATAATAAGACAAAAAAGTAATACTACTGCTAATATTATTAAAAAGCTACTCTTTTTATAAAATATTATTAAAAAGGCATTTCCAAATTATTTTATATGAAAGATGTTTACATTAATTAGTATTTTTTCCTCTACTTTTTTTTTGTTAAAATTGCCGTTGGAAATTTTTATAGATACATTCATAATGATATGTGTATAGAGAAATAAATGACCTCGTGTCAGACAAGAAATCACGCTATCGCAACCATGCACCGGCGCATTTGCCAATAAATCAGATCACAGGATCGTGTTCGACTTTGGCGTCGTTGTGACGCACGAGGCTCGCGTGGCCTATTTCCTAAGAGCGATTTTCCGCGAATTGCCTCCATTATGTCCAATTATCGGCTACGGTGAAGAAGGTTGATCGACGAGACCTGTCCGAGATCGAGGATGCACTTTAGACGAGAAAAAAAGCGGAGAGCAATCCTCGAGACTTATCGGTCAACATATGGAGTAAAAAAATTTTGATTTTTTTTTTTTTAAATATTTGATTGGTATGTGAACGCGTACGATCGCGAATTTAGCAACTGGTGGCTCAGGCTTCGCTCCAAAGTAATGTTCTCGATCGTAACCGAGCGAGTAAGAAGGGGTTGAAGGGTTGAGAGACTGTGCCGGAGTTCCATTCTATATACGTTCAAAAGTGGAGAACCCGGAAACACGCTGTCTGAACTCGAAGCGAGGTGAGACGGTGGTGGTTCTCGACGGTGAATGAACGCCACTCGAAGCGAATCTTGTTAGCGCGGCGCGTTCCTTCGCGCGCGGCGAAGAAACACCGAGCAATTAAGATCCTTCTTCCGGGATCGACATCCACTCGTGTCATGCTCTCTCCGGACCCTTCCATGGAATTCTTCGCGTCGTCGGTGAAGTGTCTTGTTTCGCGTTTAGAATCGATTCCTCCGACATTGCGGTTAACGCTTTCATCTTGGCTCGCCGTTCCTCTGTTACATCTTTTGTAACTTTCATGTTATAACCGTGAATATATAAACGTAGGAAATAAAAGAACATTTAGAATTTTGCTATATTCGAGTTCCGTTTTTTTTTTTGTTCGACGGAAATTTCGAGAAAAGATTAATCAAAAAAATTAAAGAAGTATTTTTGGATCGACAACCATAATTTATTTGATTAATTTTTTCATACATTATTATACATTTTATACATTATTTTTTATTTGTTATACATAAAATCTGTAAGATATAATCAACGATAATTTATACATAAAGTATAAGATTGAGGTGAAAATTTCATATAATCCTTTCCTTTATATTGGTTTGAGCATTTAAAAAGGAAGTCGTGCCACTCTGTCGCGGCTTTGACCTGTTGAGCTAGAAACGCTTTATCGCCTCGTCATGGAATCCGTCTTATTACGGCATACGGCACGCCAACTCGTTTGTAATCCGATTTCATTGTTGTAGTCGTCGTCGTCGTCGCCGTTGTTGCCGTTGCGACAGTTCGTACAAGCGAGATTAAAGCGACGACATAGACGTCACATCACGTCACGCTTGGAAAATTGAGGTGGACATAAAGGGACGTCGGCAATAGTTGATTTTTAATTCATTCGTGGACAGTCGAGAATCACCTCGGTCTTCCTCTTATACTTTGAGTTAATTAATGCCGGCTATCTTCCGGTATTTATGAAAGAGAAAATAAACCGTGTTTAACTCTCACTTCATACTCCCGTTATGTGTTCAAACAAATGTGTTTTATATACTCTAAAATCACCGGATATTTATTTAATAAATAAATACAGTAATAATACTAATAAATACGCTAGATAATACTAGTAAATGAATACGTTCTAGAAAAATAGCATTTCCGTTTCTGTGCTTTATATTTCTACTACATTCATTATATAATATTATTCCGCATATGTATTTTGAAAATTGATTTGATTCCCATTTATCATACATACATTTTGTCGTTGTATATTTATATTTTCCACAGTGCTGTAAACTCATTTGCGCGATTAATTAATTAACCGGATTAATTACATCAATTATCTGCCAATAATTAATAATCCACGCAGCGTTTTTAATTATCCATCTCTCTTATTTTCCTTCCCCTCCGCTTCATATCGATTGACACGCTCAAATAAAAATATCTGTCATTCTTTCGAACCTCGTTCCGTGGGACGTGAAAGAGGCGAGGGGGGATTAAGGATGGAGCTCTGAAATATCCATCTTCCTTAACCCGGTAAGAAGCGCGTTTTCCGATCAGTTAAGCCCGACTAAACCTCAGCGACGTTCCTAAGAGAGCCACGGAATGGCGAGGAAAACCTCAACGACGAAGCCGACACAGAGATGGGTTTTGGAGGTTCTTTTCGGAAGCGAGGAAGAGGAGGAAGCGCCGGGCTCTCGACTGAGTTCGACTAGATAGAGACGTGATTGAAAACTCCGCCCCCGGCGGCACGAGAGTTTCGACTTAAGTGTATACACGCGCATACATAAGAATTGAAGATGTATATATATATATATCTTCAGAGATATATATAAATATATATCTTAGGCGCGCGCTTTCTTCGACTTCGTCCCACCGCATATGGAATAATGTAAACGGCCGAGAATTCAATAAAATCCCTCTCCTTTTCTCGCGAAAACGATTGATTGAAAGTTTCGCCAGTTGTCTTTTTTCTACTGGAATTTATTTCTTGCGAATTAATTTTAGAGATGGACATAAAATCGTATATGAAATAGAAAATAAGAATATCTAGGTAAAAATTATTTTTTCTTTTTTCTCTTACTCTTTATAAATGATTAATGTAATAATATATATTAAGGTTAATATAATAATTTTTATTTGTGTATATGTATAAATTTTATATAATTATATATTAATTTTATAATTCTATATCTGAAATATTTATGATAGTTAATTTTACAAATCAAAAATAAATAATTCGAACATACAGTTCTCGCGTTAGAGAGATGTCACGCGTAATCAAAATAATTATTTTCCTCATTATACGATGCGTAAAATATTTAAAAGAATATTATTATGACGAATTTGTACTTGTTTTATATTTATTTTTTTATTACGAGCTTATGTGTCTCTTAAATTCGTTCATATTTTATAAAATAATTATTCTAGTTGTTTTCGTAAATTAACATAAGCATTAAATAAACATTGGTTATTTTTAAAATAAATGTAAAATTGATTCTCTTTTCTATTTATTTTCTTTTCCATAAAAACTTTTCCATTAAACTTTAACCATATTTGAGTTTGCTGGGACCGTGTTATATATCGAATTAGATTCAGAAACTGGCAGAAACAAGATTAGTTTCTTAGATATAACACGATTCTAACATTTTTTCTTATTTATGAGACTATTTGTATCTTTTTCCTCCTTTTTTTTTCTATGGGCTATATATTTATGACAAGACATTAAGTTCTCAGCTCGCTTTATCCGACGACTCACGAGGGATTCATTCTTTTTGTTCCAGGTTAAGCTCGACAAGAGTCACAGCGGCAAACCTTCCAGAGTCATTCATATCAGGAACATACCTAACGAGGTGTCAGAGGCCGAAATCATCCATCTGGGTCTGCCCTTCGGCCGCGTCACCAATGTCCTCGTTCTCAAGGGCAAGAATCAAGTAAGTCTAAATTAATTACGCAAGAGTCTTTATAATTACTATATTGGTTTGTGAAAAAATGCGTATATGATTGCCGAAAATTGTGAATAGCGGCATAAGAGAACAAACAATTAACACAGCGGATGTGCATAGTTAAATAAAAAATATTCCATTCGCGGATTATATTCTTGTAATTCGATCGCGAAAACTTTTAGCATGCAAACGACGCCGTTTTACGTGCCGTGTGTTCTCGTTACTAGTCGCCACGCAGGATAGAGATGAGAGTGCATTTATGTCGCGTGCATGACGCATTTTGCGGAGACAATCGAATCGCCGATATACGTGATCGAATCGAGTCGACGATCGTCCGTTTAAGCATTATTATCCGTTATTACCCGCGCGCTCGGCGCCGCGACAAAAGATACCCGATGAAAATACGAGCCCTCGATATCGTCGTCCTCGTCAACTCTGACCAGTCCGCCCTCCTGATTCGATCTACCTACCTCCCGGCAGCTCGGTCTTCCTCTCGACGCTCGTTCGTGACGCTACACGCATCACGGTGCTATTATTTCGTACGACGAGAGAGAGCCGTTCTATCGAATCCAGTCTCGGTTTATCGAGCAACGTTACCAGAGCTCGTCCCGTTCTCGTGTAATCCGCCATAGATGCGCCGTTTAAACGCATTTACAGACTCTCGCTCACCTTGATTGTAAGGGCTTGCAAAACGAAATCTTTCCTTTATTTCCATAGATTTTGAAAATATATATTTTGTTAATATAAATATTTTTAAAAGCATTTCTTCGTATATAAAAAGAGATCTTCCAGTAAAGGGGAGAGATAAATTACATTTTTGTGGCGTAATTTTCACATTTTTAATTGTCATCTGCTTTGTATCAATTTTAATGCGTATTATTGTCGGACAAGGATAGATACAGCAGAAAATTTGGAGCAATTTTTTGCCATAACTGTCTGGCAAACTGTACGATCGAGTTAGTTTTACGAACCGATCCATCCGCGATCTCTCGACCGGTGTGTGTTCAATTATGCGCAAACGAAATTACGTTTATCCGGACACCGTTCTGGCCTGCGTGATCAAAATATCAATTCACTTTGACGACATTAATTCCGCGCTTGCACGTGTGACAATACTCGCCAGGAGGTTTAACGTCGCTTCATAAAGCTCCGCGTGGTTTTGCGATATACGCATCGTCGGTAACGACCGCGTATTCAAATAAAAACATCCGTTTCGTGACATTGTGCCTGTATGCGATGTAACCGCGATAAACGCAGTAAGTGGTCTTACAAATATATATATTTAGATAATCCAGTATTTTTATCTATGCATTTACATGGATATTTCTATGCAAAGTACGCCGATACTGCGGTGTTATCGGCGCGAGTGTTCGCGAACAAGAGTGGAAACAAGAATATTTTTTACCTTGCCAATAAATGACGTATCGTAGACGACGATTTGCTTGCGTATTTATTTTTATGTATATATGCATGCAATTTTTTTAAAAGAATTTAAAGACGACTTTTATCTCGAAAAGATTTTGATTAAATGTCGTTTCTCTGTCAAATAAATCATTTTTCTGCATCGTTTTTTCCATGCCATGCTGTTTTTGTCCTTGAAATATAGGATTTCATACAAAAACAATGAACTAACGCACATTCAACGCATCGCCACAATAAAATTCCGCGACTTTCTGTGGCAATGATTATTCTCAGCAATGTATGCACAGATTGCAAAAATAGGCCAGCTGTGCATACGTTGTTCCACATTTCGAATAATGTGGATAGCCTGCAGTAGTAACAAAGCAATACATATTCGCGCTTTTAAAATGCGCTAAAAATTCAAATTCGCGTATTTTTAATACTTCAGGAATTAATAACTGTGTTTTAAATAACGTGTGTTTAAATACAGCCAAATACATACAATGTTTTAATATTTCATGTGAGTGAAAAAATATCATAAAGCAAGTCATTTGTACATAGAAAAGGGTTTGTTTAATTTAAACACACGTGCACATTTAGCAAATATCAAGCAAAAATGGAATATTTCATTGATTTTACTGCTGAATAATTACGTTTAAATATGATATGGGATCTAATTATAATGTATTTTTTTAATCTCGCTCAATATATGTTTGTTTTTTTTTTTAGTCAGACCGACCAATAATTCGTTCGAGTTTATTGTCGGTATGCTGAGAAATCCGCTTTGCCGCAAATTATTTCAGACTATTTTTCGTACCGACAGTTCTCCGACAGCTCGAAAATTTTTCCGATGCGACTGAGCGAATTAATGGCGAATCGTTCGGAACGGAGAGGGGAAATGAGAAGAGAGGGAGGGTCGGCCACGAACGACGAGGATGTGATTTGAGGACGGACGGGTTTCGAAGGGGATTAAATTGGAACACCGAGTATTCATCGTAGCTTACCGCGGGCGGGGAATATTTGAATAACTTGTAAATCCCCCGAATGCGTATTTGATGGCCGCGCTTCGGTTTCGAATACTCTTACGGTTCGTTTTAGTCCCTTAACCATCCTCCTCTACTTCTGATTCGATCATATTCTTCGTCCGATCCTCTCGCTAAGTAAGTTGCAGCATTGTTTTAGTCAAAAGTTAGCTCGTTACGTCGATGAATGATCGATGCTACTTCTAATCTTGCTTTAAAGTAATTGTTTTTATTAACGAAATATGGCTGGTGGGCGAAACTTTGTTTCAATATGCTTCTCTCTAAATTTCTTAATATATTATATAGAAAATATTATATATATTTTTTATGCTCGTTAAAATAGATGTTTTGAATTTTCTGCTTAATGAAGCTATTTTAATTGCTCTAAAATTATATTGCTCTATTTAAGCTATTTAATTGCTCGTAAATTATATTTTTAAAGAGAAAATAAATTCTTTTTCAAATATATATGGAAAAAATACCACAAAATAATATAACTAGATATATAAAAACATATAAAAAAAGAAAAAATAATCAAATAATAATACAATTATGTAAATAATATAAGCTTTATTAAGTGAAATCTTATTCCGCTAATTAGATTTCTATATGATCCTATCGTATTAGCAATTTCCGCTATTTCGATTGCATTTCGAGAAATTTGAAATTTCCTTTGGGTATAAAATCAGCGATATTATGGAAGAGAGTGTATGAACCTTTCATCGTGGGCATGTTGCTTCAAAGCGCATTGCCTAATCAGCGTGGTTAATTGCAACATGCGCTGTGCCCGAGATACGCAATGGGCGAAGCGTTCTATTTGGAATCCATTAAATGACTGTGCCATAAGCGGATACGGAATTCCTTCAAAGGAATGTCTGCTTAACATCATTATATGAGCCTTGCGCCTTAATTCTCGGAGAATATCTCTATTTCGTGGGCGACCTCGGCAAAAATTGGATCATCGTGGCACAGTATCGGATATTATTCACGGGGCACAAAAAATTACCCGCCTGTCTGTCCCGCCTGTCTGACCCGCTTGTCGCATTGAGTGAATGACGTTAACGTTGCCATCCTTGCAAAAATGGCGATGCCGATTTTTACGCTTTTTACCGCGTCAGAGAAATATACCAAACAATTAGTAGGAAATAATTTTGCACTCGCGACGAATGATAATATTCGAAGATACGCTGTAGAATCCTGTGCTTGCACCCGGGAATCCCATGGGCGTCACTAATGCGTTTGTAATTTGCACGAGAAGGTTAAATCTCCTCATTTGGCTCAATGCGGCAAACCGGTGCATCGATGCATTACTTTAATCCCTGTCTGGGTATATAAACGATGGCGCGCACGGCTCTGCTCGCATTATCATACCTGTTGTACGTACACCACCATATTAGAGTCAGTATCGAGGGTGAGAGGGAGAGGGATATACGAGCATTAAACGCATTCGCATAATCTCGTTCGGGATCGCGTCAGCAAAGCCTCGACGGTTTGCCAAAAGCCAACTCGTTCGGTGATTTTCTTCAAATCCTTACGAAAGAGAGCGCGGTTTTATCGAGGATCGAGCGATTTTCGGTCACAACGATGACGATGTCGTACTGTCGTTTGCACAAAATCTTTGCTTAGTATCCCGTAACGTCTGTTACATATTGAATATGTTTGAACGTCGGAAATTGCCTGTATAAATTATGTCAAGAAACAAAAGCATATAGAAAAAAAACTGATTTTATTTTATCTGAAACGCATTCCCGAGAATCCATAAGTGAGAATTAATTTGACTGGCGAATGATAAAACGCGATAGTGATGCGATTTACCGCCATAATAAGCGAGAATATTACAATCATAATGAACAGTAAATTATGGACAGCAGTTGTAAGCATTAGCCTAGCCACGGTCGAGAGGAGGTTTTCCCAGCTACAAATTACGGCAAATCGCAGAAACGTTCTGTGTTTGGCGAACGCAATTTCCTAGCCACCCGCGGCACTTGTTAGACCCGCGTGCAGGAATCACGATTCGCCTCCCCTTCGTCCATTTCCGGCGACGCGTCTGCCCGCGGCGGTCAAGACGATCCCAAAGTAACTCGATCACGTGGGGAAACTCGCGTTATTATCGTACACCCGGGCTTAAGCTTCCCAATTACACGCAAACAGAGACCGACGGGGTGGAGGACAAGGACGAGAGAAGCGCACGTGCATTACGCCGCGGTAATAAATCGAGTTTCACGATGAACCGGCCCGGTCCCGACCCGGGCTGACCCCCGCGGGCACTTTCTCCGTGTTTGCTTTGATTCGAAGTTTCCGGTTAAGTTGGTTACCGGAACGGGCTCTTTGTCCGATCCCGCAAACTCCTGCTCCGCCGCCCCTCTCGCTTGCGCATCTTCCACGTCATTCAACGCGATGAAATTTTCCTCGGGCTTTGAAACTGATAAAAGAAACGTCAGATCGCTCGCAGAAACTCGGAAAACCTATCGTTTTTCTTATTATCTTGCATTTTAAGAATCTACCATAAATTATGATATATTTTAAAGTAATTTTTTTACTCAATATAATCTATATTTTTAATTA